ATTGATATCATGTGTAAAATTGCATAATTTTAGCTTGATCGTGGCTTGCCTTCAGAGCCTTAAGTTAATAGATACCTGTTGATCTTTTAGGTTATCCTGTTAAATAGTGGTAGGAAATTTCATTGCCAATATTTCAAACATTTCGATAAGACATTTTGACTTTCAGAGGACTTTTGCTTTTTACCTCATACTTTAGCCTAAAATGTGAAAAAAAAAAATTACATTTATGCTTGGACTTAAGAATTCAGTGATGTGACTTCTTTGACAGCAGAGTACTGGAGTGATCGTTCCTATTCATGCCTAGTCATCTGCATTCTTTCCAGAGAAGAAACTAAAGCAACCACTTGGTTTATTTTCATCTGCTTGCCAGCTCTAAGTAATCCCCACATGAATCTCATGACCATTCTCTTTTGTTTTACCTTCCTTGGGCTTTGTCATTTTTCCTAAGGAGGTTTTTTGCTCTTTTCTAGTTTGGCTGTTTCACTTCTGCCCTTATCTTCATCATTTCCTTCTCTCTGCTTGCTTTAAGCTTATTTTGCTCTTTTTGTTTTAGATTCTTGAGGTGGGATCTTAGATTATTGATTTGAGACTTTTTCCTTTTTTAATAAATTCATTTAATGCTACATATTTCCCTCTCAGCACAGCTTTGTGTCCCACAAATTCTGAGATGTTGTATTTTCATTTTCATTCAGTTCAATGTATTTCTTTAATTTCCCTTGAGACTTTGTGTTTGACGCATGAGTTATTTAGAAGTGTGTTGTTCAGGCCGGGCACAGTAGCTCATGCCTGTAATCCCAGCACTTTGGGAGGCCAAGAAGGGTAGATTACCTGAGGTCAGGAATTCGAGACCAGCCTGGCCAACATGGCGAAACCCTGTCTCTATTAAAAATACAAAAATGAGCTGGGCGTGGTGGTGCATCCCTGTAATCCCAGCTTCTCAGGAGGCTGAGGCAGGAGAATCACTTGAACAGGCAGAGGTTACAGGGATCCAAAATTGCGCCACTTCACTCCAGCCTGGGTGAAAGAGTGAAACTCCATTTTGAAAAAGAAAGTGTGTTATTCAAAAACAAAAAAAACACAAAAAAATGCTGGGCGCGGTGGCTCACGCCTGTAATCCCAGCACTTTGGGAGGCCGAGGCGGGTGGATCACCTGAGGTCGGGAGTTCAAGACCAGCTTGACCAACATGGAGAAACCCCATCTCTACTGAAAATACAAAATTAGCTAGGCATGGTGGCACATGCCTGTAATCCCAGTTACTCGGGAGGCTGAGGCAGGAGAATCGCTTGAATCTGGGAGGCAGAGGTTGCGGTGAGCCGAGATCACACCATTGCACTCCTGCCTGGGCAATAAGAGCGAAACTCCGTCTCAAAAAAAAAAAACAACACATACACACATACAAAAACAAAAGAAAAAAAGTGTGGTGTTTAGTTTCCAAGTGTTAGGAGATTTTCCTGTTATCCTTCTGTTACTGATTTCTAGTTTGATTCCATTGTGATCAGAGGCTGCCTCAGTGATGATGGCTGCTGACTGATCAGGGTGGTGGTTGATGTGGCAGTTTCTTAAAATAAGACAACAATAAAGTTTGCCACATTGATTGACTCTTCCTTTCATGAAAGATTTCTCTGTACCATGCAATGCTATTTGACAGCATTTTCACCCACATTAGAACTTCATTCAAAATTGGAGTCAATTCAGTTAAACTCTGCTGCTGCTTTATCAACTAAGTTTATGTAATATTCTAAATTCTTGGTTGTCATTTCAACAATGTTCATAGCATCTTCACTAGGAGTAGATTCCATCTCAAGAAACCACTTTCTTTGCTCATTGATATGTAGCAATTCCTTATTTATTTTTTACTGTGAGACTGCAGTAATTCAGTCACATCTTCAGGCCCTATTTCTAATTCTAGTTTTCTTCCTGTTTCCACCACATCTGCAGTTACTTCCTCCACTGATGTCTTGAACTCCTCCAAAGTTATCTGCAAGGGTTGGATTCAACTTCCAAACTCTTGTTAAGGTTGATACTTTGACCTCTCCCCTGAATCACAAATGTTCTTAATGGTATCTAGCATGGTGAATGCTTTCCAAAAGGTTTTCAATTTGCTTTGCCATGCAAATTGAATCACTATGGAAGCTATAGCCTTGCAAAATGTATTTCTTAAACAGTAAGACTTCAAAGTCAAAATTATTCCTTGATCCATGGATTGCAGAATGGATGTTGTGTTAGCAGGCATATTAAAAACAGCTTTAATCTCCTTGTACATCTCCATCAGAGCTCTCGGGTAACTAAGTGCATTGTGAATGAGCAGTAATATTTTGAAAGGAATCTTTTTTTCTGAGTAGTAGGTCTCAATAGTGGGCTTAAAATATTCAGTAAACTGTGCTTAAACAGATGTGCTGTCATCCAGACCTTGCTGTTCCATTTATAGAGCACGGGCAGAGCAGATTTAGCATAATTCTTAAGGGCCCTAGGATTTTCGTTATGGCAAATGAACATCAGCTCATTTAGCCCCTAATAGCTCTGTTAGCCTGTAACAAGAGAGTCAGCCTGTCCTTTGAAGCTTTTGAAGCCAGGCATTGACTTTTCCTTTCTAGCCTTGAAAGTCTTAGATATCATCTTCTTCCATTAGATCTATCTATTCCAAGGCTGTTTCGTCTACATTAAAAATCTATTGCTTAGATTAGCCACCTTCATCAATGATCTTAGCTAGATATTTTGAATAATTTGCAGCACTATATCAACATATGCTGCTTCATGTTGCCCTTTTATGTTGCGAAGATGGCTTTTTTCCTTAAACCTCACGAACCAACCACTGCTAGCTTCCAACTTTTCCTCTGCAGCTTCTTCATCTCTCTCAGCCTTCATGGAAATGAAGAGAGTTACAGACTTGTTGTGCATTAGGTTTTGGCTTAAGAGAAGGTTGAGGCTGGTTTGGACTTCTATCCAGACCACTAACGCTTTCTCCATGTCAGCAATATGCTGTCTCACTTTCTTATCATTCATGTGTTTACAAGAGTAGCACTTTTAATTTGGTACAAAAGGCCCAGCTTTTGGCCAGTTTTCGAAATGCCTTCCTCACTAAGCTTAATCATTTCAAGATTTTGATTTAAAATGAGAGATATGTGACTCTTCCTTTTACTTGAACACTTAGGAGCCATTGTATTGTTATTAATTAACCTACTTTCAATATTGTTTTGTCTCATGGAATAGGAAGGCCCAAGGAGTGGAATAGAGATGGGGCAACAGCCATTTGGTGGAACAGTCAGAATATATACAACATTTATTAAGTTTGCTGTCTTAAATGATCTTATATGTTCATGGTACCCCAAAACACTTAAAATAGTAACAGATATCACTGATCACAGATCATCATAACAGATATAATGATGAAGTTTGAAATATTTTAAGTGTTACCAAAATGTGACACACAGATAAAATGAACACACACTGTGGAAAAATGGCACCGATAGACTTGCTTGACTTGGGGTTGCCACAAATCTTCACTTTGTAAAAAAACACAATATGTACATATCGTCCAATAAAGTGAGGTGTGCCTGTGTGCCTTACATAGGTGCAATAAAGTGAGGTGTGCCTGTCTCTGCTAGGCCCTGTGGGTGACACAAGGGTGGATACATGAAGATGCATGTCTTCACATTTCTTCTAGTGTAGGAGGGAAGACAGCTGGATATGCTACTAACTGTAAAACTGGGCAGGAAGTGATAGCACTATTAGGAGTACAAAACCATATGGTACTCCAGGGGACGTAGAGATTACATTCTGTTTTGCAGGAGTAGGGGGCTGGATGGTGAGGAATGGGACAGAGAAAGCTGCATGAGAGATACAGCATTATAGCCAGGGCTTGAACAATTAAAGAGGTGTCTGTTTCCAGATGGAATTAGAAAGGCATGGGGCAGGTTTGGGGAATGAGAGATTACCCACTTTGAAGGTCGGGGATAGTGGGAGGATAAGACTCGGAAGGTTGGTGGAGGACTGATCAGAAACTTTTAACATTGTTTGAGAAAGTTGGAACTTTGGAGAATAGTTTAAGAAGGAAGAAGTTGAAGGGTTTCCTGTGTGCATATTGAATTTGAGATTCCAACAGGACATTCAGCTGGAAGAATCTGGTGCTAATTAGAAATGGAAGTCTGGAACCTCAGAGGAGAGGGCTCATCTTGGAGATTCTCACAGTTGAAACTGTACAAGTGGTTGATGTTGCTGATTTGGGAGGAAGGATTCAAAAAGACAGGAAGAGGGCACAGGACAGGATTTGGGGGATTTTGGTGGTAAGCTGGAATGGGAGCAATAGAGAGAAGAGGAGTTGGTGAAAGAGAATTTAAGAGCCTAGGGAATGTGATGTATGGGAGCCAAGGCAGCGAGAGTTTTAGGAAAGAAGAGAGGGCCCATTGTTACTACTGTAGAAGGGCCAAAGACCATGAGTACTGAGGAAGGGGACTGGTGGCTTAGTCATCTTCAGTTCTTTCTGATTTTGTTGGTTTTAACTTTAGGGGACAGCTTCTTAGTTTTCTGTAAACAAATAGGAGCACTTAATATCCTTGGTGCAGATACCTGCCTATGCCCAGAAACCCTACCTGATATGTATAACATGTTTTCATTTCTTACACTACATAGCCTGGGTGGGTCTGAGTACATTTGGGAATTCTGTAAAAAGAACGTATAATATATGGCCTCTGTCAGGGTTCTTTCTGGAACTTTGTCCCGGAAACCCTGTCTGTCAATGCTGCTCCTCACCCACTTAACCTCTCTCTGGCCCTAATGTTTGAGTATGCCCATACTTCATGCTGCTTCTTCCTGGATTTGGAATGAAGCTCAGAGAATGGATGCAAGGAAGGAAGGGGAGGGTGTTAAATAGACATTGTTTTTCAGGCACCATGCTAAGTACTTTGCCTGCATTATCTCATTTAACCTTCATAATAACCCTGTGAAGTAAGTAGTATTATCCCCATTTTACAGATGAGGAAACTGAGACGCAGAGAGGTTAAGTGACTTGCCCAAGATCACACAACTAGTAAGTAAGTGTGAACCCAGATCTGTCTGACTCCAGAGCCTGTGCTCTTTTCCATTGTATTACACTGAGGCTCTGAGTTTGGAGTTCTAAAGTTGGTGTGCAGACCCGAGAGTCAGGGAAGCTCTGTCTAGCACCCTGGGGGAAGCCAGCTTTGGGATATGATTTATAAATGGCTGTACCCATTGCTGACACTTGTGTCATTTTTGCCTTAAGTTCTTTTGAATTGCTCACTCACCCTCCTAATTCTTCCTAAGAAGAACTTTATATAATTGGTGTTCTTTTAAGGTCTACTAATAATTAAAGACTGATTTCCTCTAGGGAGTGGAACTGGAGGTGGGATGGGGTGGGGCAGGAGGCTATTGTTTTCCATTGTAGGTCCTTTCTATACTAATACATTTTTAGAATGATGTTACTTTGATTCTATAAAAAATCCTCTGAAGACCAGTAGAAACAGATGCAATAGCAAACACTAAGAATACACAAGAGAACACACTTTGCCAGGTTAATGACTATGAGATATATTCTTATAACATCACAAAAACTACATTTTGTGTATCTGTCCTTTTATTTGAAGGTTCGAAATGAGTTTTACAAGGACACACAGGGTGTGATACTGGTCTATGATGTTGGGCAGAAAGACTCCTTTGATGCCCTTGATGCGTGGCTGGCAGAAATGAAGCAAGAGCTTGGACCTCATGGAAACATGGAAAATATTATATTTGTAGTTTGTGCCAACAAGGTAACCCCTCTGGAAATGGTGTGTTCAGGTTTCTAGGGGAAGAGTGGAGCTTTGAGTGTTGGGAAACAAAAAGAAAAGAAAAATTCCTTATTGTATAATATGGGAATCAATAACCTTTC